AATGTGGGCACACAAAGCATTAATGTAAGTCAAAACGTTTCAGTGAACAAGGTTAATCAATTTAACTTTATAATAATTATAAAAGATGTTGACATTTTCTGGATTAAAAGTCATTTTTTAAATTATGACATTATAGTGTAGAGACAATAATTTCTCAGCACTTTCAGATCCTAAATTGTTTCTGTGATCACTATAGTGAATATTTGAAACACTAAAGAGAACTCACTTTTAACTGAGGATTGCAGAGGAGCAAGATATGGCTTATTTACCTTTAATCATTGAGTTGTAAGAAGTCATTATATATTCTAAATCCAAATCCCATATCAGATTTTTCCAGCTTTATTGAGGTACAATTAACAAATAAAATGTATATATTTATAGTATATAATGTGATATTTTGATATATGTATACATTGTAAAGTGAAACCTGAAAAATCAAAGAATAACTATAATTCTAAAATAGTATCAATATAACAAATATTCTTATGAGTATAATATTCTTAGGAGTATATGGTATGTTACCCAGGCTGGTCTCCAACTCCTGTCCTCAAGTGATTCTTCTCGTCTCTTCCTCTCAAAATGCTGGGATTACAGGCATGAGCCACCATGCTTCCCCTGAAGATATTCTTAATGGTCCATCACAAAATGAAGTAATGGGAAAACCACAGTTGGTGGAATATAAACTCAGTTTATATAAATAAACTGAAACAATATAAAATAAATATATTGTACTCAGTTGGAAGTGTTGCCATAGAAATCAATTACAAATGTTTATCCTGAAAGATGACACTATAATGTTTACAAACTCAAATACTGATAATGGTTATTCAAAGTTAAATTTATGGAATACCAGGAAGATAGGTTGAATTGGAACCTGTGGACCATTTTATAATATTCATGAGCAATAATTTTTAAAGACACAGAAGGCTATTGTTTTAACAGAAATTAGAAGCTTTAAAATCATCTCCCTTTAATGCTTTCAACAGTCACATGGCCATAAACCAAAGACCCAAATAATTTCAAATGATCACTGATACTACTTGGGCAAAAATTTTCATGTGTCAGTGGTTTTAATGCTGTGTACATCAAATTACAGTAAAAAGGTGACTATAAACAAGATGCACCTCCTCTATTTTAAGGAATAGCACACTGTATTACAATCAACTGAGTTTATATTTCACCAACTGTGGTTCTCGCATTACTTCATTTTGTGATGGACCATTAAGAATATCTGCAGGGCAAACATGATGGCTCATGCCTATAATGCTGGCATTTTTGGAGGCAGAGGCAGGAGGACCACTTGAGGACAGGAGTTTGAGACCAGCCTGGGCAATACAGCAAGACCCCATTTCTACAAAAAAATAGAAAAATTTGTTGGGCATGGTGATACATGCCTGTAGTCCTACCCACTCAGGAGGCTGAGGCTGGAGGATTGCTTGAGCCCAGGAGTTGGAGGTTACAGTGAGCTATGAGCATTCTACTGTAAGACCCTGTCTTAAAAAAAAAAAAAAGAATATCTTCAAATCCAGTAGTCTCAACATTACCCCTCAAAATATCCAGTGAAAGAAATGGAAGATGCTGATCCTGTTACATTGCCTTAAATTCCATTTGTAATTTTAGTGGAGCAAAGAGACCCTGGATGTTTCTCAGTATGAAAAAAATTCATTTTATCATGACTAAGCTTGAAATTTTTTTCTGATAATTCAAGAAGATGACTAGGCAAAATTTACTTTTCACACAAGAAAAACATTTCTGAAGAAGTTCACGACTTTCAAAAGGTCCATTTGCTGAAAGTTCAGCAACTGAAATATTGTCTTTTAGCTGAGATCCAGGACCTCTGGCATTCATCTTCAGCTGCTCTGAAAACAGCCTTTCAGCCCCATTATTGTCAGCCAACCCCATAATTACACTTTTGGATTGTCCATTGCAAGTGTATATGCTAAGAGAGGAGAGAAAATAGAATTATATAATATGCTCAATTAAAACCAAACAAGGCATAAAAAGAGTAAAAGACAAAGAAACAAAGAACAAGGGCAATGAAGAGAAAACAGGCTGGGTGTGGTGGCTCATGACTATAATCCCAGCACTTTGGGAGGCCAAGACAGGAGGACAGCTTGAGGCCAGGAGTTCAAGACTAGCCTGAATGACATAGCAAGACTACATCTCAATAAAAATTGTTTAAAAATTTGAAAAAGAGAAACCAGTCCAGGTGCAGTGGCTCACACTTATAATCTTAGCACTTTGGGAGGCTGAGGCGGGAGGATCGCTTGAGGCCAGGAGTTTGAGACCACCCTGAGCAACACAGTGAGACCCTGTGTCTACAAAAAATAAAAATTAGCCAGGTGAGGTAGCACACACCTGTAGCCCCAGCTACTTGGGAGGCTGAGGCAGGAGGATTGCTTGATCCCAGGAGTTTGAGGTTGCAGTCAGCTATGATGACACCACTGCACTCCAGCCTGGGCAATAATAGAGCAAGATCTTGTTTCAAAAAATATAAATAAAATAAAATAAAATAAAATGAGCCATGTTCCAGTGTATTGGCCCAGACTCCAACATGATAAACAGAGGTCACTTTAGTTGGCTGGGGAATTCTTCACTCTCTGGCCAAAAAAAATACCCTATCCAACATGGGGGAAGTTGCCAGCCAGTCCAACTCCCACTCAAGTGTCCCCTTCCCAGCTCAAGGTCTTAGGGAGTCCTAAATAACATTTGCCATTGCCCCTTTATCAGCTCCAGTAGAAATGTATCTGGTCAGAAGAAAAGGAGGATGTCCTAAAAGCTGCCGACAGTTTGAAGAAGTATTATTGCAAAGAAACAGGAGTACCAATATCCTACTGTACCATGGAACCAAAAGAAACATGTCATTTTTTATTAAATATAAGTGAGATGATAGCTGTTTGTCTTATTGTATTTAGATACTCCTTTTTTAACATCTTATATTTAAATATAGTAAGAATACAAAATATGACTTAAACATTTTAAATATACAAGAGTTAAATCGCTGGGACAGAGAAGAGAAATATGAAAAACAGTCATATTTTCTCATATATTTAATTAGTCCTATTATTAATTACTACTAATTGCCACTGTTAACTAGTCCTACTATTTTGTTTAGATAATAGCCTTTATGCAACAGAAAAGTAAATAATCAGAACAACATAATTTCAAATGAACACTTATTTTTGGGTAATAACACATATGTACAATTATTTATAATATATTATGTTATAGTTTTTCATCTAGCACAGCTGTGTTCCCGGTTGGCTCTGAAAGGTTGGTCACCTTAAGAATACAGTACCATTCAGGTTGGGGGAAGAAGACATAAAGAAGGTACTATTTGTAAATTGCACAGACAAGAAACTGGTAAACAGTGGTGCCCTCCGTGAAAGTGAAATCAGAGGCTGGAACAGGTGAGAGAGGGTTTCTTTTACTTTTATTCTTAATATTTTTAAAATTTTGTGCCCTGCACATATACCACCCATTCAAAAGGGAAGGTGGACACTATCAGTTTTGCACAGGGACCGCCCACAGTGCGTGGGGAAAGGCGCTCGCTGAGAGTGGAAACAAGCGCTTCCACTGGAAACAATGTTTTGAGCTCATATGGTTCTTGGGGGACCTGCTCAAACTTCAGGATGGCTTCTTGGTGGTCAACGGATTCCGACGAGCAGGATGAGGTGAGCTGCTCCCCAAAACTGAAGAGTCCACTAAGCCCGGGAATACAGTATTTATTTGTGTATGGCAGGAGTCCGGGAACTGGAGGGTTTTAAGGAAAACTATTTGATTTATGACTAAAAGATCCCTCCGGTTTTGTGAGGAATGTGGGGGGAGCACTGTTTCAGGGGCCTATTTCTGTAATCTTGGTGAGTAAGGCTGTTGGCTTGGACTTGCTAGCTCTGTAGCACTCACTGGATGGAAATGCAGGACACAGATAGACTTTGGGAGGTCGCGATGACAGAACTTGTTGCTAGATTAAGTGTGGATCGTGAGGGAAAGCAGCAACATGGCTGCCAGGTCCATTTCCTGCGTGGGTGGGTCACGGTGCCTTTTCCTGAGATGGAGAACACTAGGGCATTGGTGGATGCAGAGGAGTAAGAAAGAGGTCTCTGGTACATTTAAAGCCAGAGACGGTTAACTGATGGACTTTTTTTTAAAAGTCACTCTGGCTGGATGGGCGATTTTCAAGAAAGTCACTCGGGCTGTACTGTGGAGAGTCGGGGGGCGGGGTGGGGGGGCGCATCTGGGAGGCCGCAAAGGGGCCTGTGCGGGCCTCGGCCAGGACACAGCGGAAGCTGCTCAAGGCCAAGGGAGAAGGTGGAGGGGCTCCAGCTAGATGCTTTGCAGGCGGTCAAAGGCTTTAATTTTTCATCAGTGTGAAATGGGCAGCCATGGCAGGGCTTTGAGTGTGATGAGAGCTGACCAAAGTCCTACTGTGCGGGGAGCAGGCTACTGAGTAGGGCTGCCAGATTTAGCAAATAAAAATCCGGGACTGTTGGTTAAATTTGAATTTGAATATCAGATCAACAATAATTTTGTAGTATAAGTATGACCCGTGCAATATTTGGGATATACGTATACAAAAAAATGCATTCGTGGTTGATGTGATACTCAAGTGTAACTGGGAGTTCTATGTTGGACCAGAAAACGCTAACACTGGGGAGGTGGAAGCAGGGCCTGTGCAGGAATTCCAGGGAGCTGGAAAGGGCCATGTTGGAAGCAGAAGCGCGAGAGAACCCCGCAAAGATGAGGATGACCCATTTGGTGCACTTTGCCAGAAAAACAACTCTGGGAAGACGAGCTTCTCGGCTCTTCTACGTCTTTTAGTTCCTAGCAGGGCTCCCCGGGGAAGGTTCACCCACCTCTTCCAATCCTCCCGAGCCGGTCCCCACTCCCTCAGGCGCCCGAGCGCGGCTCCGGCTAGCCTGGCTTCCCGCCGCCCGCACTGGCCCGGGGTAGCGGCGGCAACCTGCGGGCCGGCGCCTAACGCCGCCTTCCACCCCCCCAGGGGTGGAGCCTGAGCGAGGAGTCTGCGAGCAGCCCTCGCTCCCCGGATGACGAGGGGGTGGATAACATGGAGTCGGGCAAGATGGCGCCTCCCAAGAATGCTCCGAGAGATGCCTTGGTAAGTGCGAAGGGTGAGAGGCGGGCCGCGAAGCCCGGCGCAGCCAGGGACCTGTGAGGCAGGCCCTGGCTGAGGGCCTGAGGGTGGGCTCACGCGCCGCCTTTGGCCCAGCCAGGGCCGACAGGAGGAGCGGATGAAGGGGGTGCGCCCGGGCCCCCGAGCCGCTCCCTCGCTGCCCGGGCCGAGCTCCCCCGGAGGGTTGCGGTCCAACGGAGTGCTCCGGCGGTCGCCCGGCTTTGTCTCCTGGGTGTCGGCCCGGCGGCCTCTCTGGCTCACCCCATCTGTGAGCCCTGACTCTGCCTCCGGTGTTCTGATACTAGCTTCCCCCACCACCTCATCTGAAAATGACAACCAGCTGGAGCCACCTCTACCTCTGCTGAGGAAGCCAACCCTGGTCTTTTTCTTGTTTTTGCCCACCCCCCCCCCAAAAAAATAAAAATAAAAGTTTTCAGCAAGTGCGTATTACGTGATTTGGTGCGGTAACTGACACTCACTTGGGAGGACAAGGATTTTGGGAGCCCAGAAAAGGGGGACTTTGTATCATAAATACTACCTTCAGTCCAGCCTTGATTTCCAATACCAAATTCTGCATCTGGCATTTTTATTTGAATCCACAGGTTATGGCACAGATCCTGAAGGATATGGGAATCACGGATTATGAACCAAGGGTTATAAATCAAATGTTGGAATTTGCTTTCCGTAAGTTAACAAAACACCAAAAACTTAGACCTAACTTGTGATTCTGAAAAGATCGTTTTATTATAAGAACATTTTCACCCAAATTATGTTAGTAGCTAATATCATAGAATTCAGCCTAAAGCAGTAAAAACTCAAAGCTAGGGGAGAACAATATTTACGCTGATATCTGTTTAAAATTAATCATATAGATGGGACAATTAGCTATTAAACCCAAAATTCGTAAACTTTCTAGAAATTGGTGGAACCTTTTATTAAGACAAATGGACATAAATATTAAGTTGTCTTCACATGTTTAAGAAAAATTGTTTTGTTCTTAAAGGATATGTGACTACAATTCTGGATGATGCAAAAATTTATTCCAGCCATGCTAAGAAACCTAATGTTGATGCAGATGATGTGAGACTGGCAATCCAGTGTCGCGCTGACCAGTCTTTTACCTCTCCTCCCCCAAGAGATGTGAGCAAACTTTTTTTGAAGTTATTTTTACTTACAATTTTTTAAACTGTAACTCTAATAAGGATTTTTTGTTTTTTAGTTTTTAATGGATATTGCAAGGCAGAAAAATCAAACCCCTCTGCCACTGATTAAGCCATATGCGGGACCTAGACTGCCACCTGATAGATACTGTTTAACAGCTCCAAACTATAGGCTGAAGTCCTTAATTAAAAAGGTAAGAGGTTTTAGTCAACTTTGCTTTTGTAAAAAGGTGGGATATAAGGGAATTTAAAAGCAAATTCCTGTAGCTAGTGCAGTAGATTAAAGGTTAAGGTAACTTACTAGAATTTTTTTTTTAATTTTTAGAGCTTAGAAGGAACTTTTCTTTTTTTTTTTTTTTGAGACAGTCTCTCTCTCTTGCCTGGGGCGAGTGCCATGGCATCAGCCTAGCTCACAGCAACCTCAAACTCCTGGGCTCAAGCAATCCTCCTGCCTCAGCCTCCCGAGTAGCTGGGACTACAGGCATGTGCCACTATGCCCGGCTAATTTTTTCTATATATTTTTTTAGCTGTCCAATTAATTTCTTTCTATTTTTTGGTAGAGACGGGGTCTCGCTCTTGCTCAGGCTGGCCTCGAACTCCTGAGCTCAGAACGATCCGCCCGCCTCGGCCTCCCAGAGTACTAGGATTACAGGCGTGAGCCACCGCGCCCGGCCAGGAACTTTTCTGTTAATCTAACCCAACAGTCATTTTTCACATCAGGAAGCTGAGCCCAAACTCATTTATGGAGTTAGTAGCAAAGTTAAGACTGATTCCCAGGTCTTGCAACTCCCATTCTTCCTGATATACCATAGTTTTTTAGTGAGGTCTAATAAAAGGGTGAATGATACACCATCAGGAATTGGGCCTGCTTTCTGAAGTGTGACCTAAGGTTTTCCCACCACTGAAATAGTTGTCCCCACAATTGGTTGTCTTCGTTTTCCGAAATTCCACTATATAAGAGCGTTTTATGTCTTTTTGGGTTAAGACATTGACTAGTTAAGATTAAAAATCACAAGGAAATTAGCTGTTATTCCCCATTCAAAGAAGACTCTACCTTAAAATTAAATACTATATAGGATTATATACATGTATATTCTTATTTAATATTTCTTACTTCCTTTGGAATTACTATTCTAATTTTACATATAAGTAGAGAAAGTTTAAGAAACTTGCCCAAGTTCCTCCACGGTTGACATAAAGCTGGAATTCTGAAATTCAACCCAAGCCTGTTAATTTCAAACCTGAC